TGTTTTTTTTTTTTTTTTTTTTTTTTTTTTGACATCTTTAAAAGGTGATTGGTGTTTGGGCAAGAATTGATCTCTTGGTTTATGAAGATAAGTGCTTTCTGGTATCATAGGAATGTACATCCTGCTCAGTTATTTGCAGCCTCTGTGACAGAGTACTGGCCCCTGGGATAATCTCATTGATTAGTGAGATGTTGTGACTATGGGCACACTGAGAAAATGTTAAATGGTGGGGAAGACAAGAGTTTAATGACATTGCAGATAGTCTGTTCCAAACTCTGTAATGCCTGGGAAGCACTTCTCAGACAGAGCCAACCGGCACCCGTAGGAGACAGCAAGAGATGTTCAGGCTCCCTGTTCATCAGGGAAGAGGGAAGAGTGACTGTGCTAATGTCAGAACTTATCACTGTCAGTCACAGGTCCGTTCTTTCAGGGTGAGGTTCGTCTTGAGAGAATATTTTGCTCATAAAAACACCTGCCACTGGGCAGCCCGTGAGATGTTTTAGAAAGTCTCATTACCTCGGACTTGACTCATTAAGCATGGATGATAAGAGGACATGGGATTGGTGTGCAAAAATAGAACCTATGCAGAATTATTTTGTCAGGAGTCCGAGAGTTAATGGCACTGGGAGGAATTTTTAACAGTATGCTCATGTGCATGTTCATAGCAACCTGGTGAGGATGAAATCAACTTTTCCAAGCCTTGATGTCCAATCTGTAAAATGGGAATAAGCCACAGATCAAGGTCGTTTAGCTGTGAGTGGCTGAGAAAACGTAAAGTCATCTGTAGTTTTATGACTTTCAGCTGCTTTTCACAGCTTTCCTTGAGCTATTTTAAGGAAAAGACTTGATCTAGGCCCAAGTGACAGACAAAAGGGTCTGTAGGTAATATTTCTTTCTCTCTTGACTGTCTTGCCCCTGCAGCTCTATCTAGGAACTTTATTTTCTCCATAGACTTTCTTACAAATATGCTTATAATTTTTAAGAAGGTATCAACCTTCCCTGAAATATTTTTATTTCAGAAACTTTCACAATGTGCACAAATTCAGGCCCTAGCAATACCACTAGGATTAAAAAGCAAAAAAAAAGGATGGGGCTAGAATTGCAAAGAATAAACTCAAAACGAGAGGGGAAAACAGTTAGCTCTCCCAAGAGTGGAAACCAAAGTAGTTTCCAGATCTCCATAAAAGAATAATAATATAGAAACATAAAATAAGTTTATGAGGGATGCATTGTTATATGACAAATTGTCTCCTTATCTACAAAGAGCTATGATTGCTCACTGAAAGGAAAGGACTTGGGTTGGAAGGGAAAACACCCTAGTTGTGGAGTTTCACAGACCTGTGGTTGTTCTCTTACTTCCGGGTTTTATAGCCTTGGGCTGATGATTCAGCTTTTCCAAACTATAATTTTTCATTTTCCAAATAAAAATTAGGATACCTAGATTTTAGGGTTGTGTTAAGAATTAAGTGAAGCTGAAGATGGGGCTCTCCCACATTGAAACACAATGAATGGTGGCCAGCGTTACTCTTCAAGTGGGGCAAAAATACTTTCAGGCTTAAAAGTCATAAAACTACATTTCTCTAAATGGACTCCTTGGCTCAGATGGCTTTCTTGTTTTGGCAGCTTGCTCTCTCTTTCCCTCTCCTCTTCTCATTTTAATATATTCCGTCTCCCAAGGCATAGACAATGGACATTTACATACCCCCACTTACAAGTTTCCAAAAAGCTCCAAATGTTATTCCCAAATTTCTAGAAGGAGCTGAAGAACACAGAACTCAAACAAGATTTGCAACAATACAACTCATGTTTCTCAGCTTTTAACCTGTCGATTACCTGAAAGATGGTAAAGCTAAAAGATGGTAAGGTGTGTCTCGTTTGTCCTAAAACTCACCTGAAAAACAAAATTAGCCTTTGGACTTTTTGTCAGAGCAGGCCTCATAGAGCCATAAAACAGACTTCAGTTAAGGCAGTTAATCTGAAGTAAAAAATAAAATCTATTGAATCTTGTGACCCTGTCTCAGCAAAACTCTTGATACAGACAACGAAGGGTTTCCCTTAGGGTGCAGTACATAGAAAGGCCCAGATTTAAGTTCTGAATCCTATAATGGTCTCTTTAATGTTCCTTTTCCTTTATGTTTTTCAGGTACTCTCCCCTGGGTATTGCCTGCCTCATTTGTGGGAAGATCATTGCAATCAAGGATTTAGAAGTGGTTGCTAGGCAACTGGGGATGTACATGATCACAGTGATCGTGGGTCTCATCATCCATGGGGGCATCTTTCTCCCTTTGATTTACTTCGTAGTGACCAGGAAGAACCCTTTCTCCTTTTTTGCTGGCATTTTCCAAGCTTGGATTACAGCCCTGGGCACTGCTTCCAGGTAGAGAGTGCAAAAACTCACCTTTCTCGCTGCATGCTCTTTTCCTCCACCTGTTACTTTGTATTTCTCAAAATTCTCTCATTGCGATGCTCAGTGAGAATGCTCTTTGTGTGTTATTAAAGTATTTTTGAAATGGAGAATTTTTGGCTTCTTCTAGGAACTTCTGAACCTGCTGAGTAGCATGTTTGCAGGTATGCAACTGTGTTGGAAATATGATAGTGTACTACATTTTAAACTGAATGCATGCTATTAATTTGCAAGCTTAACTTGGTACACAAAGTATTAATTGAGTTTAGTTTTAAATTTTTTTCCAGAATGGTAGAATGGGATGTTGTGCATTAACATCCCACCTGTGATAGGGAAAACGTTATTACCAAATATCATTCTATTGAGATTCTGGCAATTAATTTTCTAAAAGTAGCAGAACCAGCTTTTACAGGTACTCATCTATTAAGTGAGATTTTTTCAGACAAGGAGAAGTCAGCCAAGTCTTTGACCTTGGCATGAGCTAATGGATCATTGTGTCCCAGTTTAATTTTAACCAAGCTTATCTGACTTGACCTTGAGAAAGACTCAGTTCCTCTTTCACAACGTAGTTTCAGTGATTAGGGAGCTAGCAAGGACCTGATATATATGCAAAGAAAATTATTTTGCAGTACTGAGGATTAAACCCAGGGCTTTCACACTGAGCTACATCCCAACTCCATTTTAAATTTTTTATTTTAAAATAGGGTCTTATTGAGTTGCTAAGTTACTCTGGCTGGGCTCAAATTTGCAGTCCTCCTGCCTCAGCTTCCAAGAGTTCTGGGATTACAGGTGTGTCTCATCACACCCTAATAATTTGTAATGGACTAAACTTAGCAAAAACAAAACAAAACAAAAAGAAATACATAAGCAATGCCTGACAATTTAGAAGCCCAAAGAACAAAAGAGCTTTATAGACTCACCCTGCTATAATTTTATTTCTGCATAGATTTCCTTGGGTCACAAAACACAAGCCTGGTGGTAGAGAGGAAAACAAACACTGACACAGCCCAAGGTCATGTTCTCGCTGAGCCTGCGATCATGCCTGGCTGGTGAGCTGGCCTTCCGTGACAGTGTGGCTTGCTCTTCTAAGGCCATTGAGCAAACAGTCAGGTTTTCTTTAGCTGACTTAACAGAACCACAGTGGTGACCAGGTGAGAAGTCAAATCATGACTTCCTTCTTGCAAATCAATGAGAAGGTCCATACTAAGAAAATCTGGGCTCTCAGAAAAAGCCGAAATGTATACAATCTTGAGAGCCCAGGTTGGCACCCTGTTTCCCACAATAAAGAAGAACACTTCAGTATTTCCCTTCTCCTTTTTATTTCTGTAGATCTTTCTAGGGCTGAGTATCTGCCTATAAAGAACCCAGAGGAAAAAGTAAATCTTTGTTTTTCAAAACTAAAAATAATCTGCTTTAATTTTTGTTTTCTGAGTAAAACATGGTATTTATTCATCGTGATAAAGTTCAGGCACTGAATATGATTTTAAAGAAGACAGTGGACATCACCAGTTAGTTCTGTATCACCAAATGGTAGTTGATAGTAACCTTTTAGTTAATCTTCATGTTTATATATCTTTCCAGAGTTCTTACTGTGTCCTTGGGAACTGTTATTTTTTTACTGCTGAATGTAAAGAAATTATATCTACTAATACAGATCTTTACTATTATTTTGTAAACTATATAAAGTACACTGTAGATATACTTTGCAAAGCCCATCTCACTCTACCCAGTAGTACACATTTAAAGTATGTCTATTGAAAACAGCTGAGACAAGCATCCTTATAGATACATCTCTGCAAAGTTGTCTGATGATTTTCTCAAGAAACACTTCTAAAAGTGGAATTTTTTAGTCAAATGGTATGTACAGTTTTCAAATGTATCATCAGATTGCAATTTAGGAAAGTGCATTATCTTTTTCCCCTTGGGTTTGTGAGTGAGCCCTTCCTCACCTACTCCCCAGGGCTAAATATTCTGGACATATGTCGGTTACTTCATTGCATTCCATTCATATTATTAAAAAAACATTTTATTGAATTTGTAAATCTTTGATTATTGACAAGGGAAAACCACATTTTTGTGTTCTTATTGATTGTTCTCCCTTCCGCCTCTTGAATTATGTACAAGCCCGTTTATTTTCCTTTGGTGTATTCATTTTTTTCTTCATTGGTTCCTGCTTCAAAGGCCTATGACCATCTTACATATTGGTAATAATAATATGAGATACATACATAACATCCTCTTTATATATAAGAATGTCAAAGTCCATGTCACGGCTTGCAAATAATGTCCACAGTTCTTCGCTTGACATTTGTCTTAAGCATTTAAAGTACTTTTGCTACTAGAAGTTTTTAATTTGTATGTAGTCATGCTGAGGCATGTTGTTTCTACCCATAACTATAGAACACTACTTTATATTTTCTTCTAGTATCTTTGTGATTTTTATTTTTAAAATGTTTCAATAATACTATAATGTTCTTTTGAATAATTAGATCCACATCTCAGTATATTTTTAAGACATTAGCAATCTTAAAGGGCTGTGGATGGTACCTCCTGGTATCTAAGACAAAGACAAATGCTTGCATTATTTAGCACAGGCTGAAAATGTTACACACATTTCTTCCCTTACCTTTGTATTGCCTTTTAAAAGAATATGGTGTTAGTACTCACTTAAATGTGTTTTTTCCTCTGATGTAAAGTTTCCTTTTTTAAAAAAAGCTATGTGGCAGGAATCACGTACCAAGAACCAAGAATTAAGTCAGGGCCCCCTTGCCATGATGGGAAAAAAATGCAAAACTTAGGGCCACAGGGGGAAAAATGCAAAACTTAGGGTCCTCTTATTAAGTACCCTTTCTTCCTCCTTGGACCTCATATGATTGAGGCTGCAAAGGTGTTGATTGGCTCTTCTCAATGGGTACGAAGACTGTGTCAAGGAGGATGGATGGAGGAGTGTGGTCCAGGACCTGTCTCTGTGCATCTCTCTGACTTTGATGCATGCTGTTAAAACTAATCTGGAAAGAAGAATCTCAAGTATCTGACATTATTATTAGTAACATTTGAAGACAGTCATATGGCCTTTGAGGCAGGAGCCAAAAAGCAATTCCAGAATGTTAGCCTGTCAACACAGGAAAGCACTGAAATTCTCAAGTCCAGTTTGAACTGACTGGGTAATGTGAATTTCTAAGACACAAATATAACATCAACCAATACAGAAATAGAGATTATTTTCATACCTTGCCAATCATTTTTCCCAACCTCTATAATTATTTAAAGACCTCTTAATGACATGTCAGAAAAATGAGTGCTGCAATAAAAAGTAATGTATTTCAGTGATTCCAGAAGTATGCTTAGAGCCACACAAATGAGGATTTTAGATTATTCATAGTGTCCTGCCTGCTCTTTAAAAGAGTCCCAGTAAAGGACGAGGGGAAGGGATGAGAGGAATAAAGGGACGCTAACTTTTCACTAAAACAGTTGGGGCAGCAAGCCAGGACCAGTGGCATTGCCTAATGCAAATGAGGCCAACCCCAGCTTTTCACTTGGACTTACACGTTTTTACTTTAGAGACACCCCCAAGCATTCACTTCTTCACCCTAAGAGCAAGAAGGAGGCTTCACCCTTGACTTGTAATCGCAAAGACTGTTCTGGTAGATGACTGTGGCATTAGGGGTTTACAGGTCAGTTGATAATACAGATTCTGGGATCTCCAATTTTGAAGCTCTGGGCTTCTTAGTCCTGAGTAGACCCTGGAATCTGCATTTCACTTAGCTGATGGGTTTTTTTCCATTCTGAGAAGCTGGGAACTTGGTATCTGTGTCCAGCCTGGTTGGAGCCCCCAATTCTAACTAGTAGAACATGACAGCTATGACGAAGGCTATAAGTGCAAGAGGGACAATGCCTCCAAAAGCTTTCTGCAGTGGAGGTTCTCTAATTTGTTTTGCTGAGACTTCAGTAGAACAAAGCAAAAGGGAATGTACCTCAGAGTACTTCCACACTTTTTGAGTGTTCTGCATTGTTTAAAAAATTTTACTTAAACGTTGAAGCAAATCAGCTCAACTTCCTCTGCATAATATTATGGCTTTCAGCAACCCTTGCTTTTATAGGTCTCCTATTTTAGAAGACACATGAACACATCAGGAATTCTAGCCTTTGAGGCTGAGTCATGTGGTTTAATCCCCAGCCCATAGTGTGTCTTTGATTAGCTGCAGATCACATGTTTTCTGCACCATGTCATTGTAGAGACTTAGAGCTGGTGATGGCTCTTTTTCCAGGATTCTGACTACATGTGAATTTCCTCAGTGAACTGCACAAAGCTGGGGTTCCTTCCAAGGTTGCTTGAAATGTTTTCTCAGCATTCTCCAAATTAGCAGGCCCAGCTCAGGGCAGTTCTCAGGAATACAATCCCTGTATCCCTCAGGGTACAATCCCTGTTGTCATTTTGTGGAGACAGTATTTCTAATATGAAGTTACAGGTCATTCAAAGATTCTTTATTACGCCTTATTGTTGACAGCTGATTGTTTTCTGAGACAATATTGTTTTTGCAGCTCAATTCATGTGGTCTTTCAGATATGGTTGAGTATTTAATCCAAGATGAAAATAGTGACCAAAAGAAGAAGGGAACTCAAAGCTCTGAGTAAATCTCAAAAGGAAGACAATGAAAATATTTTTCCTGCCTATTAGCATCTTAATAAGATTGAATTTGAACCTCTAATTTACTGAATTTTAATTTTGCTCATTATACTGCTTCTTTGCATGTTACATTGCCTGACCGAAACAAAAGGAACAAAAACTTTCCAGTGTTAATTATTTGTGCTTTGTCTTGCTTCACTAAAGCAGATATAATCTCTCTCTCCCTCTCTCCCTCACCTCTTTTCCTCCCTCCCTCCCTTTCTCCCTCTTCCTCTTTCTCTTTGTCCTTCTCCCCCTAGTGCTGGAACTTTGCCTGTCACCTTCCGTTGTCTGGAAGAAAATCTGGGGATTGACAAGCGCGTGACCAGATTTGTCCTCCCAGTTGGAGCAACCATTAATATGGATGGCACAGCCCTGTATGAAGCAGTGGCCGCCATTTTTATAGCCCAGATGAATGGTGTTGTCCTGGATGGAGGTCAGATTGTGACTGTAAGGTGAGTGAAATTAGGGTGGGGGCACAGAAACAATCTTCCCTGATCCCCCTCCTCACTGACTCCATTTGACAGAGGCTATTTGAATTTCAGTTCCCCTGCTGGACACATAGTGAAGGCAATAACAGCAGAGGAACAAATGACAACTTTCAAAAGGAAAAGATTGTGGCAGGAAAGAAATAAGCTCATATGAATCCCTTCTGTCTGTATCACACATGGCACTTGGCTCTTAATTGTCAGCAGTCCTGTGATGTAGGCAGGGCACTTACTTCTTGCCCATATAATAGATGAGGAAACTTAGGTTCCAGGAAGCATTGTTGATGGCCCAAAGACACTCCAGGAGTCATGAGCTAACAGGGCTTGGACTGGGACTGATGTAAGCTTAGCCTGAATCCAACTATTCTTTCTTTAAAATATGCTTCTTTCAATATTCCAGAGGTGAGGGCAGAAGTGATGAAATAAAGAAATTCCTTAACAGAGCCTATACCATTTTATTACATATATCACATATTTTTGTTTTTACTAAAGCTATTTTACCATATGCATTCATTATTATAACAAAAAAAAATCAGAGCATACACTCTTCCAAGAGGCCATTAAAATGTATTGCTTCTCCATAAACTTAAAAATCTCATCTACTAGCCCGGCCAACTTTTCAGCTTCTTATGTATATGTAGAGTCATTGAATGACTCTACATATATATAAGGATAAATCATCCAGAGTTCTATTGCCATTATAACATGAAATGAAACTCTTTGGAATCTTCGTTTCAATAGCATCATTCCCACTCCAAATAGGAGTTTCAGTTGAGTCAGAAGACAATTTCTGGCTTTCATGAAAGTGAAACAAACAATGAGGCAGCTATTGGTATTACTATGGTCTCTCCCTACTCCCAGTGTCTTAATTTTCTCAGCAAATGAGCAAGATATTCAGCATTGGTAGTTCATGGGCTGAAGCCAGTTTGGAATCTTACTCTGTCTGCCTTGCTATATGTTGTAAAAACTTAAGAGTTTTAGAGTCTTGTAAGATAATTGCTTTTCAGTTCACCACATTCCCTCTGTTTCTTATTACTTTTACCTGGTCAACATCACCTGCCCCAACAGCTTGGCTTGTTAAGACGTTTGAGTTTGTGATGTTTGGACTCTACAGTTATGTTTACTTTCCTCTCAGACTTGTGAGATCAGTAAATAGGCAGGTACATGAGCCACATTCTGTATAACAGATGTATTTGCAGAAGAAATAAAATTCCAAAAATTGGAACCGACAAGGCCCAGGAGATTCATTATGAGGAAAGAACTAGAGAGACATGGAAATGCACTCCTTTGCTGTTTCTGAAGTGGTGGGCTCTTTATAGGTAATGCTTTGAACATGTCCAGCAATCCTGAAGAAAAGGGCTTGTCACCGTTCCAATTGCACAGAATAACGAAGTGAAGCTCAGAGCATTTATGTCATAAACTTAGGTCTCATGACTATGGGTGCCAGAGGCATAGGTCAAATGTGTATTCTATAGTCAGTATCTTTCATCAATGCTTACATCAACCCCTTCTTGCTGATTTTGACTCAGAAGAAGATATTAAAGTCATTGTTGGGTCTTGTTCCCTCTCCATTGGACATTAAGAAGAGAGAATGTCTTCTGAATTCAGATTAAAGCACTAGCTCTTCTCTGCCTTATGTCAAACCCTAGACAACACTGTCAACCTCTATTTTAGAAATTCTGGTAATAATCAGGCGTCGGATTGGCTCACCGTTCATTTGACAATGTTTTCTGGGAAGACTTTCATGGTCTAGGGGCCAATTTAGGAGACTTGTCCTAAGAGTCAGGGTCCACTCATATCTAATTTCTCTATATGCTGGGATTTCTGAAAAGTCCAAACTTAGGGACTAACCAGTGCCTGTAGTAATACTAGAAGTTGCCAGTAATACTGGAAGTGGCAAGCCTTCTAGTCATGTCCTTTATGTGGTCTATAGACTGATACTACTTCAGATCCTTGCTTGATTTTTCTACCTCTGGAGCATTTAACCAGCTCAGAGATATTTCTTTTTTTGGCTTCACCAATTTCTCATCTTTTCTTATAACCATTCCAAAAGATTTAATGAATATCTTATATGCATTCAAGCTTAGTTTGGCAACTAAGCAAGGAAAAAGAAAACATAAAAGAAAAAGTCATCATGTTTAATGCAGAAAACTTGAATAATCATCACAAATTTTCCTAGTGTCCATAGGAAATCTAGTAAACGAGAAAACTGAGACTCAGAGAATAGGTCACACAGCTATCTGGAGGAATACCTAAAACTCAGCTTTCCAAATGTTAATGCATGTTTCCATAGATTAAGGATCTTAACTTGTGATCTTAAAAGCATCCCTAGAAAATAAATATTGGGTTCTGTATTTTATATCAATGAGGAGAAAAGGAAGCACAGAAAGGTCAAGTCATTGGTACAAGATCATTTGTCCGTGTATAAGTGGTAAAGACAGTATTTGAATCCAGACTCTAGGGTGTGTGCTTTTAACCCTTATGCACACTGCCTCAACTACACTATACGGTGGGGTTGCGTATGTTAATTTGTTGAGTCCTCAGAATCACTTGCAATATGTGTACCACAGAGGTGTCTCAGTTTCCTCCTCTGTAGGATGAGGACAACTATCACACAATCTGACAGGTAGTCACCTGTTGAGAAAGGTAGCTATTAGGACTGTTACTATTGATGATGCTCAGTAAAGTGCAGTAGCACTCCTACAATTTCAGAGTCAAATGTGGTGGTGATGTAGTATATACCATGAAGTAAATCACAATGGAGAACTTGCTTCAGGTCAGAGTGGCAAGCTTTCTGAACCATGTCTTAACAGAGAGCTTGTGAGATCGCTAACCTCCCTTGCTTTCAACTCACAGGGGAAAGGAGCTTCTCAGTGAAACCCTTTCCTAATCAGTAATAAGTCTGGTGCCTCTATTCTTGGCTCCATCAGGTTCATGCTGGGAGTTGGGAATTTAGAGATAAGAGAATGGACTGTGGGACTGGATTTGTACTGGAATTATTTAATTTTATTGACACAGGATTTGTTTTATATTAACAACTGTTTTCTCTGAGCAAAGGATAAGGTTGGTGATATCCATTTAAATCTCTAGCCACTGAGCAAGTTCAGCCAAATCTCCTTAACTCTAGACACTGCAAGAGCTGCTTGGTGGTGGTCATGGGGGACATGGAATGCGTAGCTTCACCACCTGCAATTTGTTTGGAAAAAAAAATAGCGAAGTCCAGCTTCATGCTATGCTACCAAGTAAATCCCTTGTCTTTGCCTTTTGCTGCTTGCAGAAGAGTGGCTGAGAATTGAGACCATTGAGATCTAGATGATACTGGAACCACATAGATATGTGTTATGTCCCAGCCATGATTTATTAAACCTTTGTGAGCCAAAATTTCTCCACCCATCCAATCCATGGCTTCCCATGACGAAAGCAAATATGGCCACATACGTACTTTTCGGTGCTACTGTGAAGATTTGCCTGTATACAATACCTGGCACCAGTTCCAGGAACCAGCCTTAAAGAAGTGAGGGGGGTGGACAGCCAGCAGGGCAGAAGAGGACAAAGGGAATAGGCATATCACTACTTATGGAGCTGTTACAGGGCTTAGATTTCTGCAGACCACACTTTTCCCATGGGAGGAGGCAGGTTAGGGTGAGGAAGCCCACTGTCAGGAAGCCGAAGTAACCACAAACTCCCCGGATAAAAAGGCCACAGTGCAAAGGGATGGTAAGAGCGACTCAAAACAGAAGCAATCAGTGTTATAAATAGAACATTGGAGGCCAAGATAAGTTGGAACTTCGAAAGTCCCCATTCCCTGGTGTTCTGCCTTGGGGAAATGGCTGAGAATTCCCACCTTTCAGCTGTTGGAGTGCGAGGGAAATTTTCATTGTGCAATTGCCACATCCTGATGAGATTCCCTAAGAATAACAATTCACATCACAAATTAGAACTTGATTCTTTGACATAAAGTAGGTTTTCTATTGTGCGTAACCTCATTCATTATGTAATTGCCACGTTTTCCTCTGATATTGTAGGAATGCTGTTGTACTTTACTGACCATGACTAATAGCAACAGTCCTAATAGACTCTTCTAAGCATTTTTTTTTTTTTACTTGTGAACTCCTGAAAGTTTCTGATCACAGGAGTGAGATACCATTATTATCTCCCTCTTAAATCAAGGTGCAGAGAGGTTAGTTTGTCTAAACTCAGGTGCTTAATAAGTGGTAGACCTGGGATTTGAAAATACGCTGTTTGAGAGCAGAACTTGCACTGAGAATCACTGACACCCAAACTGGGTCAGACCTAAATCTGGGGAGGATAGCAATGTGAAAAAAACAGCTCAACCCACAGGCTCTCAGGAAGCTACATTTTACATTTCCTCCCATGTAAATTAGGTAAATTCAAGTTACTCTCGAATTTAAGAACCCAAGATTACGTGCTCAGTCACACTGATCGCCTGGACTTTATTAAGACACAGTGAGAAGCTGTTTCTCATTTTGGAGCCTGAGTGTCTACTATAGATACTGTAGAATTTTACAATCACAAAGAAAATCCTTTTCTTTTCAGTGTCCACAAAATCCAGCTGGGAATCCCTATTCTCAGAAGCATTCTTCAATTTAGAATTGACAGCTGCTATAAATGACAACCTCATAAAAGAGGGGGAAATCACTACCAATCATGAAGCCCCAAAGACCCCCTGGTGTCCATACAGCGCACCTGAGCTCTAAATTGTTTGCCCAGAGACAGACATCAAAACGGTACTGGATGTGGCCCTGCTCCTGCTTACAAAGGAGATAATGAAGTGCTTCAGAGAGAAAGATTTCTGTTATTCCATTATCTTTGCCTGGGACCCTCTTTCTGAATAATGTATTTTCCAGCCCATAAAAATCCAGGCGACTGAATTTAATCTCATTTGGAATCTGTTGATTTCTTGCCCTGATGTCTGCTCAGTTGGGTCTGGATATTTCCTATTCTGAGTGCTCATGTTAGCATTGGCAGTGACTTCCTCAGACTCTCGCCACATAGCCCTGAGGCTGGTGCTCAGAGAGACGTAAGCAGAAATGAATGCAGTGGCATTCCCATGGGAAGGTTAAGAATGATTTGTTTTTTCTTCTTTAATATTTCCTTGCCTGCTTTTAGAGTTACAATTACATTACTGGAGTCCTGTGAGGCATTAGACTAACTGATATCATAATGGAAATAAGGCTCCAATCCATAAATTTATAGGCTTCATCTCAGTGGAGCAGAATCCAAAGAGCCCCTCATTTCTGGGTCTCTGTCCTTTAGATTTCCCTATTCCTGGGTGGGGGGAGGGAGAGGAAGGGAGAATTTATGGCTGCAGGGAAATTGGAACTTGAGAATGCCAGGGATGGTTTTGCAAAGACTCTCTTCCCATGACCTGGCTTTCTCTTTCTCTTTCTCAGCCTCACAGCCACACTGGCAAGTGTTGGCGCTGCCAGTATCCCCAGTGCTGGGTTGGTCACCATGCTCCTAATTCTGACAGCCGTGGGCCTGCCGACAGAGGACATCAGCCTGCTGGTGGCTGTGGACTGGCTGCTGTAAGTGCCTGAGATGGGGTTCCGCTGGGGATTTGATGAATGCCCTCAGGGGTGGAGAAGTGACAAAGCAGTAGCCAATCCCCATGGCAACTCCCTCACTTCCTCCTTGCCTCTAACACATACTGAATATCTACCTGAGAACCAAAGAAGAAAAAATGGAGTCTTTCAGAGTTTCACAGTTTAGTGGATGAATCAGTAGATTATAACACCAAGTTAAAAAGTGTTGCAACTGGTGAATGCAAAGAAACTCAAAATACTATATTGAGTGAACAAATCCAGAGAGAAAGGAGTAGGTACTGTGTGATTCCATCTATGTGAAGCGCTAGGAAAAGAATATATAGCAGCAGAAAGAGATCATTGGTTGCTGGGGGTCTGGTATAGTATGTGGAGATTAACTGAGAAGGGGCACAAGGAAACCTGAAGAAGTAGTAGAAATGTTCTCTAGCACTCCACATCTTCCTCCATAATGATCTTGAAAGTTCGGTGTTATTATTCCCATGTATAGATGAGGAAATAATCTTGAAGAGGTGAGGTGAGTTGGAAATGAACAGAGATTTGACCCTAGATCTTGGTTTGGGAGCCTGCCATGTTCTCAAGCTTCAAAAGGCAATGATAGCTAAGCCGGGTCGTAACTATATAGGTAGAAGTTACCCAGGAATACACAGATGGGAAGAGAAACAGGACATTCCAGTCAAGGCTGGCCTGTACAAAGGCACTGAGGCTGCAAATAACTTGGATTCCCTGTAAATGATAAAAGGAGAGACAAGATGAGCAGACTTGAATGCCATGCAGGGAAGCTTGAATTTGACCACGTACATGTAGCCCAGCCACAATTCCCAGTGAAGGATATTTTCCTAGTGTAAAAGATTTGCTTCCCCTTCATGAAAGTAGGAAAGTCCACCAAAAGTTCCCCAGTAGAGTGGTTGGAATGGTTCTTCTCTTAAGGGGCCATTTGGACCCTGCTGTTCTATAAGATGTACATTAATGCCCCTGTCTAGTCTGGAGTCAAATTATAAAGTCTTTGAGTGATACCATGAGCTTTGATGTTAGAGATGTAACGACAGATGCTGATGCAGAAATCCAAGGCCAGTGTGCCCATGTCTATTTGACAAACCATCTGACCTACAGCTGGCAGTTTTTCTGATATTTATTGGCATGGATTTTGAGAGCCAGGAGCCACATATTACAAACTGAGTTATGAACCTCTTCCATGCCCTCACCCTTCCAAAGAGAAAAATGCAAGTGCTTGCTTCGGCAGCACATATACAAAGAGAAAAATGCAAGAGGCTAATGAGAAGAACATCTGGGAAGGTTAGAGGAAGCCTGGCCTCTGCATAAAATGTGCCGATTGGTGCAGAGACTGAGGTGTAGGTTATAAATAAGAAGAGGCTCCCTCTATACAGTGTGCTCAACACAGGAGTCATGGATCTTCCTGGCTGGCTCCTTCACATCATGGAAATGTTCTTGCAGTATGTTGAGTGGGAAGGTCAAGAATAAACTAAATAGGCTGGGGATTTAGCTCAGTAATTCTACCTCCTGTTTCTTAAGCGCAAGGACCTGAGTTCGATCCGCAGTACCAAAAACAAACAAACAAACAAACAAAAACAATAAACTAAATAACCTCATGTTTGTCTCTGCCAATCTCAGGTAGGTTCCTCTGTGCTAACTTGGTTGCTCTCTGTGCTTTGCGTTGGCGTGAAGAGGGAGCCTTTCTCATGGTACCAGGCAAAGTAGCTAAGATTCAGTGGTGACTTATGGTGGGAAAGACCAGGAGAGGAAAAGACAAGGAGATGAACGAGTGGGGTAGGATTTGAATGAGGTGGAGGAGATGGGGAATGAAGACATTGTCAGTGGTGTGGGGGTGGAGCACAAAGTCGGAGCTCAAACAACGTGTGCTAACCTTGACCGCACAGTTGCTGTGTGATCATCAGGGCCTTTCCATACAAGAAGAAAGACAGAGGAAGCTGCTCTCATTTCACTTGCTCCCCTGTGGCTTGTTGCTTACTCACTCCCACCTCTGGAGCCTCCTCAACTGGAGGTGTGGTTGGGCGTTCCTGGTCTGCTGTGACGGTGCTGCCTGCTCTTTTCTTGGACTTGTTCCTGAGGCCTGAAATTCTCTATTCCATATTCGTCTTTTAAAAAATTGTTACTAAAAGAGGCTGTTACTCTATTACAATGTAAATGCCCTTGAGTGAAAAAAATATGTGGTAATGTTATCAGGAATAAGGAAAGGGAGCAGATAATTGCTGGGCACTGCTACATCTGTCTTTTGTGTACTCCTTGACGATCTCCGCTTCATGAGTGAGAAACTGAGAATGGAAAGAGTTGAGTGTCTTCCCTGAGGCACAGCATAGCTTGTACGTGTCTTATTCCTTTCTCATCACTGTATCTGACACCCACAACTTAAAGGATGACAGATTTATTTTGGTTCACACTTTGAGTCCGTGCTTGTTTAGCTCCAAGGCAGAAACTGCATGGAGGAAGGCCATCATGGAGGAAAAGGTGCTTTAGCCATGGCAGCCAGGAGGCAGAGAGAGAGAAGGGAGGAGACTGCAACAGGAATACATCCTTTCAGGTCATGTCCCGTGTGACCCACCTCCAACCAGGTCCCACCTCCCAACATCACATTGAACTACTGGACTCACCGATTGGTGAATCCACTGATGAGTACAACACTATGATCCAGTCACCTTCCACACACATGAGAATTTAGGGAGACATTTTAGATCTAAACCCTAACACGTGGCCAGCCCTGGGCCTTCATTCCACCTTGTGCCCTCTCCTAATTTGTACAAAGCAGTTCATCCATGAGAAGAGGAGCAGACAGGTCCAAAATTGGAAAGACTAGGGACAACAGACCTACAAGGCCTCCCTTCTTGTGCTAGAGTTTGCATGTTTCGGGACAATAGACTGATAAGGTCTCCCTATGGTATTGTTTGGATGTTTGTTCCCTTCAAAATGCATGTTGAAATTTAATTTTTATTATAACACATATTAAGAGGTGGGAGTTTTAAGATGTGATTAGGTTGTGAGGACTGGCATTGGTGCCATCATAAAAAAAGGAGAGCTTGGCCTTTTCTTGCTCCAACTTTCCTCTTCTACCATCCTCCATAAGCTAATGCAGCAAGATGGCCCTGAACAGATAGATTCTGGCATCTTGGACTTCCCAGATTCCAGATCTGTGAAGAAATAAATTTCTGTTTATAAATTACCAAGTCTCAGGTATTTTGTTATAGCAGTGCAAATGTGCAAAGACAACCCTGGTTCTACATAATAACCAGACTTTCTGTTCAACATGCTTTTTCTCCTTTCCCAGGACTAAAGCAAAACAAATAGCCTAACTGGGAACACTTGCAGATGTAAGCAAAGCATCAGCTTCTCTTAGAATTCAAGTCCTCCAGTCCCAGCAGGTATCAAATTGCAGACTCTGGCACTCGTTTCCTTATAAGCCTGTTGCATGAGAATCCTTTTATGAAATATTCAAGGCCTTGACTACTTCCGACCTAGGTGTTAGCAAATGGATAGGAGGCTGGGTCCTCTCGAGTTACCCTAGGCATATGCTCACATGCTCATACTTGAACAAGAAAGCAGGGTGTCACCACACTAGGGTTGAAATGGGCCATTAAGAGGGAGTTGGTTGAACACAAACAAGAAAATGATGATACATTCGGATTAACTATTGATAAAATCATATAAGAGGAAACTACTGGGCCGGAACTGGTAAGAGAAAAACAAGTGAAGTGCTCGTCTTCAGTTCTGAGGCTCTGATCTCAGATGGGGACATGATCAAGGGAGAGAACAGCCAAGAGGAAGGAGAGTTGGCTCTGAGCTCTGCACTTATTACCTATAGGACTTTGGATAATTTACTTAGTCTGGGTCTCAGTTATGTTGTGTGTACAATGGGAACTCTAATGTCAGCTTGAGTGTGGTAGTCTGATCCCAGTGTCTTTGAGTGCCCTGCTAGTTTTAAGACCTGACATTCTGTGGAAGATGGCTTTTTTTTTTTTTTTTAACAAATAAGTATAAACATTTCTTTTAAGAAAAAAAGAAAGGGTAAGGGATCCTGGGAAGATAGACACTAGAGGCTGAGCTGGGCCCAATCTGCTTTGAATTAGTAATGATGCTGCATTCTTTCTCACCAGCAAGAGGAGTTCTGGAAACAGGAACTTGATGGGAAAGCACCATGGCTTTTGGGAACTCGTTAGTGTATAAGTGGGGTGAGTGTCGGGTTGGGGTAGGGGTGCAAGAGGGGGCTGACTGTTCCTTAGAAAAGTAGTTTGTGGTGGGGGGAGTTTTTCTTCTCTAGGCAAAGTCTGCAAGCTTTTATAACTTTAGCAGTTTTTCAATTCAAAACCCAACAAAGCCTTCAGTGACATTTAATGTGTCCCAGTGTTTTCCAGCTGCTGGAGACCAGCCAGCCTCATTACTGCCCACTAAATCCTGGCTGCTTTTCAATGGGCAGACTTAGATGCTCTGTAAATGTCATGGTGGAAACCAAGATTCCAGACCCCTGAAAGTGCCTGAGTCCAAGAGCACCACATAGGCAGGATGCGCTAAAATCAGAACCTTCTCCTGAGTCCAAGAAACCATTTGTGCTGGGAATGCTTGGTAGATCCTTGTTAGAGACATGCCTCACCTTTCTCCGTGAAGAAGGAGGGATGAAGTAAAAACTGGGAGCCAATGTCAGGAAGAAGTAGTAAAAAACTGGTCTGGTCACATCTAGAAAAGGAGACCCAAAATAAAGTGAATTTAAGTGTACTTGTGGCCCACTGCTCCCGTAACACCCTGCTGGTGGGTGAGGTGTTTTCTCAACTTGCACTTGCTATTTGGAGACATATTAGAGTGCGGCTTAGAGGGGAGAATTTAAGGAGCTCCCATCCTGCGGGAGAGACTGAAGCTCCTCACACTGGCATCTATCTATGAAGGGAGTAAAGCTTTGGTTTTGAAAGGTGAGCGTGCACCAGAGTCTTCTGGAGATTCAGGAGGTCTGGGTCGAGACC